CGTTCTTAAGTCTTAATATTGTTAAATATTAATTGTTTAATCTATAATGTATAATTGTAATTTGTAGGAGCATATTTAACTACGATTGTAAGAGGTGTATGTAATCGTTACGACATACATATGGATCAAATATACACTGTTACTACAGATAATGGTGCAAATATGTTGAAGACTGTAAAGTTGCTATCTTTATGCAATAAAGATTCTGATGAAGCAATTTTGAAAGAAAACAAAGGCGTTAATGATAATAATGATGATAATGATGAGGACATCGATTTAGAGTATTTAGACCTGCAATTAGATCCGGACAAACTTAGAGATGAGTCAGATGAGAGTAATGAACACGAACCAGAGGAGGAAATGTACCATCACACCGAAAATATACTACAAATTATTGAAGACAGTATACCATATTCTGATTTTTCAAGTAGCATATTAACAGGTGCGACGTTTTAACAGTATAGTTAGCATTTTAATAAGACTTCAAATATTTATTTGAATTATTATTTCACAAACATTCAAAAATATTTTCTTGAAAACGAATAATTATTAGGAAATAAAGGCTCTAAACGGTTAAGCAGGATCTTTAGTGCTGAAATAATTGTGTGTGAATTTACTATATATGTAGTCCTTTAAACTACGCGCCAAAATGATTCTCGGTCTTGAAACGGAACTGAACTACTGTAATAATGTCACAAATTAAAGCAATTTAATAATTTGGTGCTCATATAGACATCTTACACAAATCTAATAATGCTGAATAATCTATTAAAATCTGAAAATACATAATTTTATTGCTAAAAACATTTCCTCGAACCTGGATCTCTAGTATTCCGTATGAGCGTCCTAAGCTTTTAGACTACCGAAGCCTTAATAATATGTCAATCTGATCTAGTCAATCAAAATCAAGTAAGATATTATGCTTACCCACTACTACACGATTTCAATTTTCAAACATATATGAAATAAAATATAAAGATATTTATTATTTAATCAGCATTATTAATATCTAAAGATGCTATATAAGCATCAAAAATTGTTAGATTTAAAGCCAATTTAACTCGTGATAATACTGCGGCAGTTTCAAGTTTGTGTTATAAGTCTGAAAATAATTTCGACGCGTATTAAGAATCTACATTCGTAGTATATAAATTATAAATTCACACGTATTTATATTAGAAGCATCAAAGATCCTGCTTGACCGTTACAGCTTGTTATCATTAATATTTAGTTTGAAACTTTCACGGTCCTATGAGATTTAATATTTGTTTATTATTTAAAACCGTATCTCTCAGGTTTTAAACCGAATTAGAAAGTATTTTATTCTCGCATAACAAAAATATTAATTACTTATTTGTTAATGATTTTAGGAGTGAGATGTGCAGCCCATACCTTGCAGCTGGTCGTGGATGATGCCTTGAAAAACACAACTAAAGGTATTTCACTCTTGATCAAAAAGGCTCGAAGACTCGTGAAGAAGCTAAGAACATCAACTTTTTTATACATGCTCAAAAAACAAAATTTGAAAAAGCCGATAATTGATTGCCCAACACGTTGGTGCTCGACAGTGATCATGCTCGAAAGATTATTATTACTAAAGGATTATTGCACAGAACTGGCTGTAACAAAATTCGAGAAGTTTGAAACGCTAACTGATGCAGAATGGGCAAAAATTGAAGAGGTGTGCCAAATTCTACAGCCAATTAAAACGTGCACAGAAAAACTCCAAGCCGAACAATTGACTCTTGGCGACTTCTTCGGCCATTGGTTACAGACAAAATTAGCGATGAAAAAAATGAATACATCTTTCGCAATGCTCATCTTCGACTTTATGGTATCTCGGGAAAAGTATCTACTGGAAAATGATGTGTTGTTATCTGCTCTCTTTTTGGATCCAAGATTCAAAATTTTTTTAGAAGATGTGCAGATAGAAAAAGCAAAAACTCATTTGAAACATCTTTGGGCAAAAATGATGTCCCTTGAAGACTTGCCCGCATTAAACCCTAACTCACAAGAATTCTCATCAAGTGAGTCAGAATCTACGAGCGATGATTTAGAGAGCCTTCTCAAATTAAAAGAAATACATCACAATTCTTCTATTTCACAATCATCACCGTCTGTTCAATCAACTCAATCAAATGAACATCTTTCCTTGCGAAGGATTGAACTCTTACTAGAAAGTTACCACCAAGAGCAGAAAAGAATCTCAAGAAATACTAATATCTTGGAATTCTGGCAAGAAAAAAGTACGATTGATCCAGAGTTGTACAAATTAGCGAGGGTTACTCTGGCGGTACCAGCCACGCAAGTGAGCGTCGAACGGCTGTTTTCAGGATTAAAATTCATACTATCTCCGCTAAGAACGAATGTCAATGAAGAAATCTTAGAGGATCAACTTTTGGTCAGAGCTAACCGAATTTTTAACAAAAAGGATGACATGTACGTTTGTAATCTTACGCTCATGTTTTTAACGCTCCGTACTTCGTAGACACACTAGACATGCAGTTGATTTTT